AGTTCCCTCTCCACTCCCGCCCGGGCCCTCTTACGCCTATCATGTGGAATCCGGAGTTTCCCCCTGCATTACATTGTCAGTAGTTCTTGAAGTGGGATAGGTTATCCCTTTCTCCTCTGAGCTCTGCCTAGGGGAGTCTGGGTCTTCGTCCTCTTAAGGATCTCTTGGCGGATTCCCCAAACATAGCAGGACGATGGCTGGAATACTTCCAGTTGCAAGACTTCTGTACCTTGATACACCGCAAATGCCCTCTGGATAGAGCTCTTACTCCATTTGAATGTCTATGTGTTGGCCCCAACCCCCCTTTGTGTCCTTTATCTCCATTACATAGCCTTTTGATATAATTTTTTGAGCAGGACACCCCACAATATATGAAAGATTGGGCCGCTGACATGGCCTGCTCCTTCTCTGAGGCAGATCTTTCTAAATCCTTTGGTTTGACTCATACGCTCTCCATCTCTAGCACTGTGCAAGAACGTAACTTCAAGATTTTGTCCCGATGGTACTACTGCCCTACACGCCTCCATGCCATCTACCCTTCAGTTCCCGACTTATGCTGGAGATATCTCTCCCATAGAGGTTCAATGCTCCACATATGGTGGTCCTGCCCTGGTGTTCAAACACTCTGGACCAACGTATTTTCCAAATACCACAAGGTGGCTGGTATACTAGTGGGTAACTCACCTCAGATTGCTCTCCTCTCTATGTTACCAGGTCCTATTAAATCAGCTAAAAAAGGGCTTCTACGGTTCTTTCTGATGGCTGTCAGATCGATCAGACCGAGATTGTGGAAGTCTCGGACTAGCCCCTCTATCACCGACTGGCTTGCGGAAATGCACTCTCTTTGTAGAATGGAGGAACTCTCCGATTTGATTTATGATAGACATGCCCAGTTTTACGAGGTATGGAGTCCCTGGCTACATTTTTGTACCACTAAAGGAATGCGTAGCCCATCCCCTGTGTGACTAGATTTTCCACAACTGGATCCAGGCAGTTTTGGAGGTTACGCTTTATTGCGGTATTTCACTTGCTATCTTCTATTTCCATTTTAGTTGGCTGCTCGTGTGGAGACAGGAGATACACCTCAACTTTTGCTTTCTTTTTCCACTTCTCTTCCCTTGTCCTGCCTATTCTATCTTGTCTCTCCCTTGTCTTTTTTTTTTCTTCATATGTACTCTTCTTTTCTTTTTCTGGAGTTTTGGTGCCTTCTGGCACCTAAAATGTTGCCTCATGCTGTTACCATTGGCGTGGAGGCTGGGTAGCTCACAGTTGAATGTCATGTTTTAGAGAGATTGGTGCCCTCCGTAGCGGAATGCACGTTCTGGCTCTGTTGCCATGTGCATTAGTATAGTGGTGCATCTGTTTTCATGTGCATAGGTTTGATAGTACCTTTTACATTACATTACTTTTATTTTGCAAATTTGTGTACCTGTGCCTCTACTCCCCTTTTGTTATATGTACTTTTTGTGTATATATGTAAAAACTTTCAATAAATACTATATTAAGTTAAAAAAAACTGCATAAGAAAAGTAGAGTTGGCGTGCATATTAAAAATATATCAGACAGTCTTCAGAGTAACAGAGAGGATTCTGTATACTTCAACTGAGCCCTATATGTAAATACTAGAGTATATGTTTTGTATATAGCAACCAGATGGTTATTGATTTTGTAAAGCATAGGACAATGTAACAGACATTTAAAGCACTAGCTTAATTACATCAATCACTTGAACATTTATCTTACAAGAGCTTTCATGTTACCGATGACTGTGTGGGTCAGTAAATATTTCTATTATTTATTTACTTACAGGCCAACCTGAGTCTCCAGTCAACATTTTCTTACCGTCGGATGGCTCTAGCATAAAGCAAGCGTCATCACCAAAATAAAATCAGCTTTTTTCCCCTACCTATCAAGGATAACTGCACTTTAAAACAAAGTGCAATTATCCTTTTTTTCCCCTTTGCCCTGAGCTAACCGATCTCACCCTCCCACAGATTTATACCTACCGAGATCCAACTGCCACAGCCTCCATTGTCTAATTGCATCCTGCACAGCAAGTCCTCCCTCTCCTATCTGCACAGGCGCATCACAGCCCCACAGATTTCTATGGAGCTCGTGTACCTTCGATAGACTTCTTAATTCTCGATTATCATTTATCAAAGAAGTGATGTCTCTCAATTTCTAAATAAAAGTCCTCACTCAGTTTTTTTTTATTTTGATCCATGCCAACTCTGACAAATATATGAAAAGGTTTATATTTAATATAGTTGTGGGGTCTGGCCCAGGGCTGACCTGGAAGTAAACTAAAGAATGTTTATACATTTTCAAACATTTATTTCACTTTCAGCATTTACTGAGTACTAATGTCTTGTCAGTTAAGCAATGGAAGGACTGAGAGGGGGCACCATTGTTGGGCTGTGATTAGGGCATCAGTTGCTCTTAGGCTGGGTTCACACCTAGGCGTTTTTCCGCGCTTTCGTACTCGCGGAAAAACGCTCAAACAGGGACATGCCATTATTTTCAATGTGCATGGTTCCCATCTGGGCGGTTTTCCGCGAGTACGAACGTGCGGGAAACCGCCCTATGCCCAAAGAAGTACATGTACTTCTTTGGGGCGTTTTGGTCGGGCGGTTCCATTGGGATACAGCCAAGTATCCCTCGGAAACGCTCGTTTTTTTACCGCGAATCGCGGTTAAAAAAAACGTGCGAAAAACGTGCATATTCAATCCGCCTAGGTGTGAACCCAGCCTTAATGCGGCCCTGAAGTCATCCACAGAGGAGCTGAATCTGTCAGTCTCCACTGGTATAATGTGCCGACTTCATTAGTGTATTAACAGTGCTTAAAGTAAACTTGAGCATGCACTGACAAAAGAAAAGGATTGTGATAACACGGAAACCATAAATGGTCTTATTCTCCCTAATCCGTATTTATTTTGGAATACTAGCTGCAATTTTTATATAGATCCAGAATCTGTGCCTTTACAAAATCTGATAGTCTAACTGTAATTCTGTTTAAACTAAAAGGCAAAACAATCAGCACCCTAACCAACATTAATGCTTGCTCTCTCTGGTTCATATAAATCTTACTAGACTAGCCCTATATAATCACATTTCAGCCCAGAGGCACAATGACGTTGGAATGGTACGTTCTGTATTTAAAATTCTGAGATTGGAACTCAGCAAGGAGATGGATAATCTCAGGATGGAGAGCTGAATCCCCTTACAGTAACTGTGAGAACACTAGTACAGAGAATTTTCCCCGTTCCTTCTCCAAACTCTAAATATGCTGATTGCTTCATTGAGTACTTTAAGCAATGTACTGGTATAAACATCCCCAGCTGTTATATGAAACTGTTTCCATCTCATTGTTTTATTAACACGGCTCTGACGCTCCCTGTGGAAATAAAATGCTCGGATTAACTCCTATAACAAAGCCTTACATCTTTTTGTAACAGAGCTGGTACACTGGACACCTGCACATGATAACCCATTACAGGTCAACTTAAGACACCGGGATAAGGTTCAGACCTAAAGTAGAGGGCAGACCAACTGAAAACACACATCATGTCCGTGCCAGCATCTTATGGCTCTGTGCTGGCAACTTCTCTCCTGCTTGGGCTCAGCTGAACTACTGCAAAGTTTGGAAAACTATTTAAAGAGCATGAAAAACAGCTTCAATAAACTGACGGCGGTCAGAAGCGTTCAGAGTGTCATGTGACTCTGTGGTAATAAGTATATGATTGTTCAATCTCTGAGATCTGACATTTTAGCATGCTAAAGTTATAAGAAAAATATAAAATAAATTTGCTTTCTTTTCAAAGCACCCTGTAATTTATTGTTGAGCCTAGCCTTAAGCAAGGGCCACTGTTTATTTTATGCAATTGCAAGAAGGAAAGCTATTTTCTAGACTTAGAAATGTTCTCAGGCAGATGTAGCATTAAAAACATTACAAACAGAGAAATATAGCAATATACCTACAGATCAAACCTTTTCAAATGAGTTTCTTGAGTATTTACATTATTAAAGGAGTTTGAATTTAACCCCCCCAAAGTCTCAGCTATTCGTATCAGCGTAAATCTATGCTTCTCCTGCAATGGCCAACCTGATGCTAACAAATATATCCCTAAGAGTGTAAAGGAGCTGGCAGCTGACTTTACTGGCTTGTGCGCATTAATAATCACTTTCCAACAATGCACAACTGATAAAGCAGTTTTTTTCTGATAACTGCCTTGCCATACAAATCTGTTATCCCGCTGCTAACTGTCATATAGCAGAGAGACGGTTTGCTATATTTTGCTTGCGCACTCTGCGGCTCACTTGCTTATTAAAAAGCAAATTCACATAAAAGATGACACAAAAAAAAAAGAAACAAAATCTAAATCTTCTGGCTACACAAGTTTTGGTCATAATTGCAATAAGATGCTAGGAACCTCCAATACAAAAGATAGCTTCCCAACACATTTCTACAGCATTGCCTGTAATTTAAGATAATCAGATATCTTTTGCAAAGAGGGAGGTCCCAGGCAGGGCTTGACTGTATATGTGTCCAGAACAGTAACAGGTTTTTCTACTTGTAGATATCACTTGCAGCTACACTTATTAAATATTGGGATGAGCATCAAGCTGAGCTGATCAGTGTCCCACAAACAGCAATGAAGGGAGGGGAATCTCTCAGTGTGGATAAATGAAAGATTCAACACCAAAAACTATGGAAGGGACTGTCCACATGGACAGGAGTGTTTTCTACAGGTAAGCAGGTCTTGAAATGCGCGTGTTTTCACATAGGGTATTGATCTGAGTTACTGCTGCATACTGTGTAGAGTTATCAATGCCCTAAGGTCTTTATAATGAGGTGAGACCTTCTTGAATTGTACCATCTTCCCATCCATATTTCTCTCCTGCCTGTACTACAAGTATAAGAGCCACAGAAATAGGCACTGCTACATAGAAGCTTGCATGTTTGCAAAAGACTATTGATCTGGCATTTCCCATGGACACACCTGGCATTTCCCATGGACACATAGATCTGCCTCATAAGGACCACATGGGGTTCCATCCAGGACTCTGTCCGCCATCAGTATCGGAGTATCACGGCCTACAGGAGTGCAGTACAACTCGCATGGCTTATCTAGGAAAGAAAGTAAAAGTTAGCAATGTTTTCTCTGTTACCCTCTGAGAACCTGAAGTCCAACAAACAAACTTGTAGAACTTCCTGTTTCATTTGATTTTCAGATCTTGAAGATAAACTTGATGTGTTAAGTGTAGTTTACATCTGAATTTTCTGTACTTGGAGTCATTGGTGTAGATACAAGTCAATATTCTGTTTGGACTGTCTTACCTAGTTATATATTATTTGACATCCACTGACATTTCAGCCTATGGAGTGTTTTGATCACTTACATGTCTGAACTTTGTGTAATTTTTTAAATTCCTTTATTATACCTGCATATTATTCTTTATAGATGACACGACTTGAAATCCTTGTTAATGTGCAACTGTTTCCCAAAAACAATGTTAAAAAACTGTAGTCCCTATACAATTGCTACAATTCCTAATTTACAGTGACAGAAAAGAATGAGTGTGCTTATCACACGTACCATCAAACATTACAGCAGTAAGGGGACTTTTCTTCCTGTTGCTGTTGCGGTCATGGGTTTGACACTGATCGTCCCTGAAGCTGGCACCACCCTTGGGACATGGCAAATTCTCACATACCATGTGTTCTACACTTGCTCCTTTGCAGCTACGACCTCCAGGTCCCGGTCTGTCAGAGAGGAAATACAGAGTCAAAATATGGTCGTTCATAAATCAACCAGGATGTACCCTGCTGCCCTGATAATCTCCTGTGGATTCCCTTTGGGCTATGTACCTGCTGTACAAGACAGCACAATGTAAAAAAGATTACCAAAGCCATTGATTCATATTTCTTGGAAGACTAAGTCTGGAGGTTAATAAATCTGAATCGGAATTAGGTCATGAGCTAATGCTGTGTCTATCCACACAACAGTGTAACATTTCCTTTCCTCCTCCTGCTAATACAACTGGCTCATTACAGTGATTTATGAGATGCATTTACAAACTCTACTGGAACTCTAGAAAACAACTGGGGAGAAAATTCTAAAACAACGTCAAACCGAGCCAGAATCTCAGTGTAAAGTCCTAACTCAAACAAGACTAGCACAAAGCTATCATTAGAAGAACATTAAAAGAGAAATGCCGATTGTTTTTTTAAGGTATTTTCTAGCTGAGCAAAGCAAATTGATACAAAAAGCACATATGTCTGGCTGCCAATTCAAATAGCATTTGTGAAAAGAGGACATGCCTTCATTCCTCTTGGGGGCCAAAGTTTACACTTGTGTTGCAGACTATTACAACAGTATACCCTACTCGCATATCAGATATAGCATGATGTCAGCGATTTAGTGCCGAACACTTATAATCTCTACATGAACACTTAGTCAAGTCATCAAAATGTAAGCACAAAGTAACCTTCACTAAGCATGCCAACAGTATGGGTTATAACTCACCAAGAATGATGAATGGTCAGAAAGCTGCCCTTCTTTATCCTTTGCATGACTGCTTACACAACAGACTTTCTGTGGCTTGAGCAGCCTATGCCTGCTGGTAAACCTCTATGAATAGCATTCAGAGGATCTCGGTTATATTACCTAATACAGTATACTACATGATATGGTCACAGACCATGTGATGAAAGCCTAGTGAAATATAGTTTTAAATGCATTTCTCTTCCTGTATTTTAATACAGTGTTTGTATTTTGTAGAAGGTGCTAGTTGGTTTGGTCTATTCTTTAAGGGCTCATGTGATATGGCAGTTATAGCTTTCTATCAGATTTTCTCAATCGCCTGTATAGTTGACAGGCTGATCTCATGACTGATCAAGGTGGTTCTCTCTTCTTTTCCTTTGTATTGATCAGTCAACATTCAGTGTCTGGATTATTCACGAAAGGGTGAAGAGTTGGGAGAAGTGATCTAGGACAAAATAGCTGATTTGGAAAAATTCTCCAATTCAGCTCACTTTCTGGTTCAGCTATATTGTCCTAGATTGTTCACTTCTCCTGCCTTCTCCAAACTCTTCACCCTTTTGTGAATAACCCTGTTATTTTTATTGCCATTGAAGGCTGTAATGACATTTACTTCTGGCTTAGTAAAGGATCTCTGTTTGACACAAAGTGTCACCTAGCTTTCATTCATGGCTATAGTACACCGCTTGCACCTTGCTGTATAGCAAATGATTTATTTACTGGTAAACAAAGTCCTTGATATTGCCTGCCTTATATGTGTATTGAGTTAAATGACTTCTTCTGCAGAGGCTGGTTAGAGTACAGTAGCACAAGGCATTTCTATAGTCTGAGATTATTTCCCATCTATCTTCTAATATCTATTGCCATCATTACACTTGTTGTTTCACACAGAATTATGTTGAAAAATTGCAAACTTCATAACCAAACACCCTTCTGAATAGATGCCACAATCATATGACAGCAAGCAGTGCATGGAAATCTCCTATTTTGCTTAGGAACTCATGCAATGGCCTGTACTAAGGAGAAACTAAATTGGCTTTTGGTCACGTTATTCTTTTTCTCAAATTTATCCTTTGCTCCTTTTAATTATTAAACATATAATAGAAGAGATATAAGATGTGTCACTTTGTTGACTCAGTGACTTGTGCTTTCAAATTTCAGCTTGAACTATTGAACTTCGCAAACAGTCTTTTTGCTGCAGGTGGTGAGGAAGCAGAAGAAAACATTGGGAAAAAAGCTTATCGTTTCCAAACACACCAACCAAAATCAAAAGAGGATAGTTTGCTGACTGAAGGGGAGAGCACAACGATAACCTCATTAGTGAGGTGCTGCTCCATAAATATTCAATCACAGCTTTGACCAATCTGTATTGCTTTGACTGTTGCTGGCAAACGTAAATGGTCAAAACCTAGGTATGGCATCTGGTTAAAATGTCTAGACTAGAAACTAGCTACAAAGAATGAAAAGCTGTTTCGCAGTTAAAACACTTTATAGAGTGAACTCCAATCTGTATTTAGCCGTTTGCCTACACTTGTGTTTCAAACTTTGGTACATTATGGGGGAGCTACCGCTGGCTCAAGAGGCATTGGTAATTAATATACACAAAACACATACTCATAAAACATAAGAGTGCTGGAAACCACAAAACCGATACTGCTTGCCAACACTGACTGTCAACCTTCATGACCCTTTGTACTGTTTTGTGTGCTGTTACCAAGTAATCTGCAAACCAAGGCAATATAGAGACAGAATAATAGGATCCCATGCCCTCACTGCATGTTGAGGACCAACTACTACATTCACTATGGGAGGATGATTCATCTCATACGACTTCACTCAATCTGCCCTGAAACCATCTTTTCTTTGCAGAGTCTGCCAAATGCCACCAACATGTCCTCTGGATCAGTAAACACAGCTATACTACAAAAACTATGATGTCACTTTTAACCTAATAAAGGAAAGCTATTTTACTAAACTAGTATATGGCTGTGTAATGTCATATCTGGCATCAATAAATTCTCTTTTTCCACACAAAAAAACAACAACATATATTGGTGTTATAGTGTGAAGAATGCAGCAGACAAATATCAAGGTGCCAAATGAAAAAAGGGCTGATAAATCCAACTGAACAAGAGATATTGCAGCATAGAAAATGATCTCTTCAAGAAAAATAAATATCTTTTGTAAATGTTAATATTCTACAATATTCAAATATTAACTTCCTGCAAAACTCTACAATAGAACTAGACCATAAACTTTATCAGCAAAACATTTCTTCTGTATTGCTTGTGTAGCGCCCGTCACCTTTTGTGAAGTGCTTACTATCCATTTAGTGATAGCCAGGGCTGTTGGCAGCCTGGCTGAATTTGTAGCAGCCAGCACATGGTTAATCCCAGGTGTCCAACCTTGTCTGTACCCCCTAGGGCGGAGTGAGACTCTGTCACATTGTGGGACAGCCAATGGGTGACACTGTAATGTCTGTACAGGGCAGCAGCCAGTTATTGGGCTTCTTGTAGCCAGCGGTGCCTGCTGATAAAGTGTACATATATGGGTGGGAGCTGCCATGTGCTCTCTCTTGCCTGGACCAGCCATGGGCTAAGGTTGGGTCCTGTTCGGACAATAACACAATAATATTGTGTTATTATTAAATCTGCTATAAAACTGTTCAAATGTGTGTTGGTGTGCTGTGGATCCACGATTTGAACGGTACATTGGTGTAGGGGGATAGAAACACCCGATCATTCAGCGGCTCCTTCGGGGGTGAGCGCTACACTTGTGTAACTAGATAAATAAACTCTGAATCTTTCACGGATTAGTTTCACATTTGTAAGGACAAGTCAGAGTCAATGACCTTTTTCTTTTCTTGTTTCTCTGTTAATTAAAATTTCTGGAAAATTACAGTAAAAGGGGGTTATATATGGACATCAGGAGTAAAAATACATTTTCATTTCATTATTTTGAAACCTGGATAAAAAGTTAGAAACCCCTAGAAATAAATATTTTCCCATTAGCTCTTGTGTTGTATCGACTCTGATTTTGAAAAGGATAATAATGGCTTAACCCCATAATGTATGGAACCATACTTTAAACCAATGCAAGGTGTCACACTTAACTGTCAATCCTTCACAGCTGAAATCCTATATATTGTAAAGGGAAAATGATCAACTGGTGCAGTAGAGGCAGCGGTAAACCATGCAGTAGACAGGGATACCCAGGAACAAGCCTGTTTGACCTGCACTTTAATTCAGCAATGCAGCAAACATAAACACAGGCCCAATTCAGGATATATTTATTTATATTACCCACAAATATAGATCTGAATGTATTTGGCTCACAGTTGTAAAAAATAAAATGAGACCTCAGTTGACATTACAGTGTTAGCCCATGAGAAAGAAAGCCAAGGTCCTCTGCTCACCTATCAGCACACAGGAATTGCTTTCTGAAATAGCTACATGATAAGAAACACAGAGAGACCTTCCAGCAGAAACTTCAGAGCTGTACATGACCCGTGAAGCTTGGCTGACAGAGCATGTGATTTGTGTTAAAGGCACTGCTAAATTACAAGATATAGTCTCTGTGTACTTGGACAGGCCACACGCACAGCTCATTTTCCTGCATTGAGCTTGGCTCAGACAAGTGTATGGGTGATAATGCCAGCAGCAAACTTTTTTTTAAAAACTAAACTCATAGAACACACATCTGTTAATCTGATGGTCAAGCAACCATTCACTGGCTATATCCTCACAGGACACACTCTGCAAGGTGGAGTAATTTGAAACTTAAACTGCCCATACATATCCCAAATTATCAGGAAGAATAAAGTAAACCTGAAGAATAAAGGAAAACCTAGCTTTCAAATTGATCCCTATAGAGCTTCTTGGTTCCAAGCCTAGGCTGTACAGAGGGTTTCAATCTGTACCAAAGTCAAGCTTAGGCTCTGAATGGCAGTAAGCTCCAACCCCATCAATCAACTCCCTAATGAAAATACATCTACAGGTCACTGAAGCTCTGATGCTAAAAAGTAACACGCAGGCACCACAATGCCCTCAGTTTAGCACTATTGTTACCCTAGGGACCTGAAAGACTCTGCTTTGATAGACTGCCAAAAGAAGCTTTGATAGACTGCCAAAAGAAGCGCTACGTAGTGCGACAAAATGTGTACTGTAGCTCAATGTAGCTCAGCTCAAATCAGTGCTGAAAAATCACTTTGTTTTCCCATCTAGCTTAGTGTAAATGGGGTCTTATATAGGCAAGTCTACTGCTTTGTTGATAAATTTAGAGGAGTGCTTAGAGCAACTCCTGTGTAAGTATAAACATAATGGGAAACTTGTTTATACAGGGGCCGCTTTTACACCTGCCTCCCACCTATATGCTGCATTACATTGCATTTCAATGGCAACCCAACGCACTAGGGCAACGCCCCTGCGTAGTAGCACACTGCAACAAATGATAAAGGACTACCATGTACTGTGGTTTTCGTTTGTTTTTGGATTTAGATACACTTTCATGAGAAGATGATAAATAGTAGTTAGCAATAACCAATCATGCTGCAACTTTTATCAGTTTCGAGCGGTCAAAAGAATGAAAGATAGTTTCTGATTGGATGCTATCAGCTACCTTGTGTAGAACAGCAAAATTATTTATGTAGAAATAATGAAAAACAAAAACATCTCCTACATGTTCTCTCTAAAGGTACACTCACGGTGGGTTGTCACATTTTCTCTGTCTAAAGCGTGCTCCAGTTCCACAAGTACGACTGCACATGCTCCAGGAGCTCCAGGCACTCCAGTCTCCATCCACATGCTGAGGGATTGGGGTCTTGCTTACGCATTCACCAGCTCGGCACCACTGCAATACAAACTCCCAGAATTAACATGACTGTCCAATGTCCACAGCAGACATATTGTATGTAGATTATAACTCTCTGGTACTGGGTTATGTCAGGAATAGCCAGCACATGAACCTTTCATTTCATATAGACTTTTGTAATATATTATTTAACAATTCCTCTGCTAACCTTGTCTGCCCCACATTCTGTTCCATCCAAAGGTGGGTCTAGTTTGGTTTTACAAGAGGCATCTCCTTCTACTAGACACCACAAGCCAGCGCACATCAAATGCTGAAATCAAAGGAGACACAAAGTTCTCATGAATGTGGTTTTTGTTTTGACTTACAAACTACTATTACTAAAATTATTATTTAAAGACACAGAGTAGGGTGGACATATTAGGTACTCTGGCAGGATATTATGTGAATTACAAAAAATAAATTTTATTAATAACTAAAAATCTAGTGCTAAAGCCTCCAATAATTTACAATCCTCAGTCACAACCGAGAAATGTGGCAAGAGAATAATCTCCAGTTTTCCATCTATATAGGAAAATACATGAGTCTATGATAACATTACAATCTGGTTCACTCCGGTAAATGTATCAAATATATGAAGACAGCTAATAGATGTTGACTGGGGATAGTAAATGACTGGAGGCTTTAGCGCTAGATTATATGACAAGTCCGCCCTACTTCGTTTTCAAATAATGTGGTACCCCAGATACCAAATGATGTTTAGTCCTAATAATCTATTACTTTTACGAAAACAAATACAGATATTACTACTATTACTAGTGCTGCTAATAATATACATTTTATCAAGGGATTATAACACTATACATCAACTCAAGCTTAAAATCCATGACAATTAGTTTTTAATGGAGGCACACAGAAGTGTTTATAATGTGAACAATGTGCATTTTTCATATCAGAAACCGTTTACTTCTAAAGTATCGAGGGACCCCAGTAAATCTCGAGGCACCCTAGTGCAAGTAAGTTGATAGAAAACCTCAGATTTGTTTTTCCATTTAGTTATATAAGCACCTGAGGTTTGATAAGAAGACAGTTTTCCTGCCATTATGCTTTTGGGATGCAAAAAGAAACCAGATTACCTGGAAAAACCCAATACAAACCACAGATAACATACAAACTGTGTAATCAGTATAGATCAGAAATGTACAGATGTCACTGAAGACAATTTAACCAACATGGACTTCCTTACCTCCATATTTTTGCAGAATGTGGCATTACTGCCAAAAAGGATCTGGCACTGCTCGCTGGCACTATAATGCATCCCAGGCAATTTGTGGGGAAGCCTGACAGCATGGTGACTGCGAGGGTCTGTCACCAGCAGACATGAGCTCACCTTGGACCTGTGTAGAGTTTAAACAACAGCCTGAGGCTCCATGTAATACAACAAAGACTGACTTTCAACACTGAAAAATTAAGAAATGCATTCCACACATGCTAAATTCAGAGCTGAAAATGCATTGACCTTTCAAGGAGAAGAGAAAGAAATGAATATAATGTTATTTAGGAAAGGTTTAAATGACCGTTATGGCTGCTCTGATCAAGATGAAAGTGGACACTCACTTCAGGAAGTTCTCTAGCTCATCACGACTGCAGGTTGACCAGGACAGATCACTGGGACTCCGGCCCTTTACCCACTCTCCAGACATTATATGTGAACGACCTGCACAGGATGGCTGGTCGTCATCATGGCTCATTCCCATGCTGTAAAATAAAGACAAAATTACCAGACTGCATGCCAACTTTGCTATTTTGCGTTATAGTAATCCTGTATTACAAAACATAACACCTAAACCAAACAGGAGGGGGTTAGTTAAAGCAGAACTCCAGTTAAATTTTTTATTAACCCTTGGAGTGGAGCTACCCCCGCACGGCAAGGGTTAAGTGTCCCTTCGGCCTCGCTCCTCCTCCACTGCAGCAGTCTCACTTAATCCTCGGATCTGGCCAGCTGTGACATCGCTCCCTCCTGACTGTCTCCTCCTAGGCTGCAGTTTGATTGCATGTCCCTCAGCATCCTCACGTCCTATACATAGTGTATAGAACATGATGACTCGGGGACCTTAGACCGCTGCAGCGGAGAGGAAGCAAGGTGGAAGGGACTGGTCTAAGAGCAAGTCGGCTCGGAGGATTGCGTGTGTATACCTTTCTTATTTTTGAACTTAGACACAAATAAGCACTTAACCCTTGTGGTGTTGGGGTAGCCCCACTGCAAGGGTTAATACAAATTTTACCCAGAGCTCTACTTTAAGTTAGGGCACCAGAGATGCTTGCTATACATTGCAAGGTTTACTTTAAATCCTAACTCCACTTATGATTTGGACAGAGTAGGGAAGGCACAGAACCTGTCAGTTTTTTTTTCATGGCAGTTTCCATGCCTATTGGGGAGATTTCCTCTCAGGGCAGGAAGTGATGAAAAATCTTTTAACTGTGGACAGAGACTGCAATGAAACACATTTTTCTGTAAAAATGAAAACTGTTATAGCGTCTAGTAAGCCGTGGTTCCTTCTCCTAATGGCGACCACTCCACTAATTTCTTGACCTCTTACAGGATGTGAGGGTAAATCTCCCCAACCGATGAGAAGATTCAAACTCACTTCCTCCCCTGAAGATAAGACAGGAACATTTTCCAATGTAAATAGAGATGTCAATTAAAACCTAAAATAAGTTCTCACGCTTTCCTACTCTACTGCAAAGCTTTATTGATGTCAGTGCAGGACAGCTTTTGATCACTTGAGGTCCTAACCCAGGGGTAGCCAAACTCCGGCCCTCCAGCTGTGGTGAAACTACAAATCCCATGATGCATCTCTCCCCGGAAGTCATGTCTGTGAGCTGTGAGAATCTTGCAATGCCTCATGGGATTTGTAGTTCCACCACAGCTGGAGGGCCGGAGTTTGGCTACCCCTGTCCTAACCCTTCATCACTTTTGTCCAAAAGAAAAAAAACAAATGAGCTTTGGCTGAAATTCTGCTTTCAAAAGAAAACTGAGCATTAGACAAAACTGTATGAAGTCACTATCAAGTATGATATCAATGAAGACACACAATGTGAGCAAGATTTGACTTTACTTTGCCTTCATTTGCATTATATTTGCAGCCTGATCCATCACCTAGAAACATTTTATACAGCTGGAATACTACTGTATATAATCAGACATCATGTACAGTACTATAATATCCATTGTACGGTCGCTAGAGGAGCAGGAACCATCCAGCCAATGGCAAGCAAAGCTTTCAGGAATGCAATCAATAAAACCTTGTCATAAAAATGTGACACTGACTGTGCTGGTTTTACGACGTAAAATGCCGATTGCTAAGACAGGCAAACAAGCAGATTTTCCTGGCCAGGCCTCGAATAATAACCCTGCTATGCTTTGTTTGTAATACTTTAAAATATGGATTTTCTGGCCGGGTGTCCTATCAGTGGACATCTGGAAATATGAAGCTATGCTGCCACATGACCCTTGTATAAAACTTGTCTTACAGAATCCTGAGCCTTATATCCCCCAACACTAGCTGATATTGGTCTCACTATTTCAGGGGTATCGGGTTCACCCTATTACTCTGCGAGGTAAAACAACTGCATTTTGGGTAATTTTATTGTGCTTTGAATTAGCCACGGTGCCAGGTGCTGTCATCATAAATTCCTGCCAGCTATTAGTGGAATAGCGCAAGAGTTATCGCCATTAGCTTGCAAGTTACTAGCAACTTATATACATCTCTAAAGCCAAAACTTATTTATTGATTCATTTTTGGTTTTGCATAGAGTGAGGAAGTGTTAGAAGCACTGTTAGCTTTTATCTCTGTGCCTCTGCATAGGAATTCACCCACTGTGTGTGTCCTGAGAGCATTTTCACATGGCTGAAACGTGATGGAAACATTTTACAGTTTATACTCAAATAGATGTAAGGGGAACTCTTCTAATGGGTGCATATGTGACAGTGTTTTTCACTTTTGGAGAGATTGCCATTCACTTTCTTGCTGTGACCAAAAAGCAGGGTGGGTGCGGCAGCGACAGCAAATGCTTCCGCAAATTGTATACAAAGTCAGATAGGAAGTCACTCGCACTCCAATGCAATGCCAAGTCAATCTCTTTATTGATTGGGGTAGTGTAGCATCTTACAGCAACGTTTCAGAACCTATGTGTTCCCTTCTTCAGGCAAATGAAAAATGTAAACGGAGATCTCAATGGGACGTAAAGAGCACAAAAAAAACCCCAAAAACTGAAAGGTGTTAAGTCATTTTCTTTTTTATCCAAAGCTAAAAAACTTGGCCACTATAAAAAAAAAGAAGAAAAGATTTTGAAGATCCATACAAACCTGCAATTTAGCCTACAACACACACCTGTTAAAACCTTGTTAAAGTCAGCAACTCACTCTAAAATGTTTTTTTAAATCTTTTGGGATTACCAGGGTAATTTTTATGCCCAGCGAGCAAATCTTGCGAGTCCAATTGGTGTATCCTACAGCTCTCACTTGGCATATTTATTAATTCTTATAATAAATGTTGATAAGTTCCATTTAGTAGGCAATTACAGATTGTAAATTATTTCCTAATGTCTCCAAATAGCAAATTTTGTCTTAGACTTGCATAATTGTGTTTATTTTGAGGGTAGTGGTGGAGGAAAAACACAGCCAACTGTAGTCCAAACCTCTTTTATACAACTTGATGCATCTTCTGTACAGACTGTGAACGGCATGTGACCCTGCTCATCCATGCAATCAGGTGGTGAAAAAGAATTTCTATGTGGGTAGGATTCTCATTTCATACAACTGTAATTTCTACTATTTTTAGCTCTGAGGTTGAGCACAGTGCTTTTAAGAAGAATCCCAGAGTCCTGTGAATCTGTTATCTTTGGCAACATTGCACTTAGAGGAAATTTTTAGTAATAAACATCTCTTACCCTGCACACAGCTCTAGTTATGTGGGGTTTTTGGAGCACATACAATCAGACATGGAGGTCAAGCCACTTACTTCAGACAACTGTTAATTTATTGAATTATTGCTCTTTTGCCAACTGAAGATGTGGAGTCTGGGCTGGTAATAGTGATGTAATTTTATTCCAGCTGTAAGGATGTACAGCAATAACCACTGGCAATAAAACACCAGATCCCGATGCACACATTTAAAGAGGCCTCCTAAACTCCACACATAGGAACTAGGTTTTTGCAGTCTATCCAATTTACAAGAACTTAAAGCAGATATAAATCACCACCACATAATCTAGTTATGTATTTAAAAAAAATGACTAAATGTATATTAGCATACAGCTAGTACTCTGCCCTTCCATTATCTTCCTGTAACCCTGTGCACACAAGAGCTCACACAGAGAGGAAGGACCAGCAGTGGAAGCCAAAGAGTTCAGTCACTCCAACACTGGAGGCTTGCAAAGTGATACCTCATCAGGGTGCTGGCTAGCCTTTCATTGTCCAATTAGCAGGCTTAACCACTTGAAGACCGGGGTGTTAAACCCCCTTCCTGGCCAGGCCATTTTTCAGTATTCAGCGCTGCGGTACTTTGACTGACGTTTATTCAGTCATGCAACGCTGCACTGAAATTAATTTTATAAAAATTTTTGGGGACAGATAGAGCTTTCTTTTGGTGGTATTTAATCACCACTGGGGTTTTTATTTTTTACTATATAACAAAAAAGTACCCTAAATTTTGGTTTTAAAAAAACTGTTTCCCTATGAAATGTTATGAAACATTTATTATCAGCCCAATTTGGTAAAATATAAAAGATGGGGTCACATCGGGTAAATAAACACCAAACATGTCAAGCTTTAAAATTGCGCGCGCGAAATTGCAGAAAACGACCACACCTAAAATTGACCATAGGCGACGCTTTAAAAGCTTTTACCGCTCATCAGTTTAATGTTATCAGTAATTAATGGCCCTCGAATTATTGCTCTCATTCCGACTTTCGCGGCGATAAGTAAAATGTGCGGCACAATAAACGTAATCGTCGTTTTCACACGTTAGCGCACCCAACGCATATTTGCGTGTGTATGTGGGGGGGACGCGGGGGACTTTTTAAAAAATGTTGTGATATTTTAAAAAAAATGTATTTAAGACTAGCTTCTTTATTTTTTTGCTGTAATTAAAAAAAAAAATGTGTACACTTAACTTTATTGCTATCACATGGGGGGCTAAGGAATCCCCTATGTGATAGCCAATTCACATGACAGGTCCTCTTTATGGAGATATCAGAGGTCGCTACGACCCCTAATATCACCTAGGGACCCCCAGAGAAGCTGATGAAGCAGAGATCTGCTTCACCAGCTTCTCACCGGTGTTCTGTACCGGAGAGTGACACTGAATGCAGGAAGTGATGTAAAATACATCACTTCCTGCATTCGGGGACAGGAGAAAAGATTAAAGGGAGATCGTGTACAGATCTCACTTTGATCTTCACGGAGAGCGTCGCCGTGCCGGTCCCAGCCGCACTGGGCACAGCGGATTTTGAGACCGGCAGCGGCCGCTACGAGGTAAGAGGTGGGGGCCCACACCCGCAGCTCCTGCAAGGAGACGCCCGATCGCTTGAATGTAAACAGCCATTGCTGGCTGTTTACATTGCTAACAGTTCCCCACTTGTGTACGCGCTGAGCTCTGCGCACGAGCAGGGGTAGGGGCAGGACGTCTTAAGACGCCCTCTCGCTCCTACAAGACTCCCGTCCAGCCATTCACAAAAGGCCATGGACGGCAGGG